AAAAAAAAAAAAAAAAAAAGGTGGACAGCGTCACGCCGCATAGGAGTTGCAGTGCCACCCAGAGCTTTAACCCTGTGACATACGTTGACAAGTCCCATGTGCCTGTGATTTCACCAGCACCCTTCAAAATCGGAACAAAGTAATGCACACATTACCGCTTGGCGGCAGAAATAGGTAAGGTTACTACTTCTAAGGTTGCACTTCCGTGGACGAACTCATTCACAAGGTGCCTAACTGTTACTAAAATTACCTATATCTATAACATGTGTGTATACGGTTTTTTCCATAGATATAGAAAAAAAGGGTTATTTCCGTATGTTTTGTCTTTGAAGTACTTTTTTCAGTGGTAACCATTGACTTACAAATAAAGTATATTCTGTTAATATTTTTTTCCTTTCTTTTTCCTGGTTTACGGTTATTTTTCAAACTGTACAAATGTTAGGTTACATTTAACGTGTATAAAAATAGAAGAGTATGAAACACACAAGTTATGCAAAATAATTTTATTAATTTCAAGCGAAATAACAACAAACATAACTACAATTTTCATTAGTTAAATAATAGGTTTACCTAATATTGAAGAATAAACATTACTTACCTAAAAATGTGAATACTTGATTATTTATATAATAATAAATTTAGTTCCTTTGTTGTCATATTCTCATAAGGTACATTTCACATTATTAAATGACATATATGTGTGAAGAATAAACGTGCAACTAAAATATTAATTATCAGGGAAGACAAACAAAGTTTTAGGAACTATTAACACTCTTAAAACAAGGAACTTTGAGTACTATTAAAACGTATCTTACTTATCTAATTACATATCACAATATTATTCTATCATCTCGTCTTATTAATACAAACACTACAATTCAGTTAATTTTGTATAAAGCGACGATGTAATTCACATTGTCTGTCACGTTTATCAACTTTTCATACATGATTTAAAAATAGTTTTGTAATAAGTGTCGGACCTTGTTGTATTTATTTAATTAAAACCAGAAAAAATCGCAACGAATTCGATTAAAATTACTTATTATACCGCATTTCTCTTGCGAACACAATTTTGTATTGTAGCTTTAAAATAATTATGCTTTTCCAGTGTATTGAAAATGTTTGAAATGTTCTTAGTGACCTTACTTGTAGTACTTCTAATTAAATCACAGCCTTTTTATCAGAAACAAATAACCTAAATAATAATCACTGGATTTCAAGTTTTTTTTTCCTATCATCTTCTCAAAATCCCTTTGTGTCAACGTAGCCAAGAGTCCTAATTCTGCTGATACCACCATCAGGAGCCATAGTCACCTTAAGGTGGGTGATGACATCAGACTTGCAATTGTACCAGTGTTCATTGTGCGCTGACAACTGAAAACAGAAAACAAGATGCTTTTATTGAACAAGTATTTTAAACAAGCGATTCAGTAGAAAAACTTACAAGTGAGGATCAAAGCAATTTGGTATGATTTCAAGATTATAGACACTCACCTTACTGGGCTTAAGAATAGTATTCCAGTTGTAACTCAATTCTGGAGTCCAGTCGGCGAATCCCAAAAACGCGCCTTCGATCTTCACTGAATCAGGGAAGTTTCCTTTAAAATGAGCTGTATCGACGCAAATCTTCTCAATTCTGCCTGGGTAACCCAGTTTGAATATTGCCCATTCTTCACCAGGTACTTTTAATGTTCCATCGTCATTGGCTTCAATGATTTCTGGCCTGTCAAGACGCCGCGCGGTCTCCCAACCGTCTGCCATAGATTCACTCTTGCATGGTTTTATCATATTGCGAGGATGTCCATAATGGGCGTTAGAGGAACCTGAAAAATAATAAACTTTGATTAAAATCATCATAATTTAAATCTTATCATCTTTTGCTTATATTATTGCCATATTTTCACTAACAGTGCGCGTTTAATACAAGCAATGCCAGCGGATTGTGGTCGAAAACTTCCGTAAATTTTGTTATAGTTCTTTCAGTCTATAAAATTGGATACAATTATGGAACATACTAACGTACCTTGACAAGTAGCTCCATTGAGCAAAGAGACGAGGTCGACAATATGGTGAGGTGGTGGTGCTTCTGACCTAGCTTCTCCATAAACTCTAAGTCTCGCAATACCACCATCAGGAAAGATATTCACTCGGATATGCGTGTACGCTTCGTCGCATACCACCTGTAGGCCAAAATAAAATTTAAAATATGTCTAAATCAAATGGGATTCTTAGATAATTTGAAAAAGGATTCTTAGAAAATTTGGTGAAGGAATATTTATATAATTTGGTAAAAGTATTCTTAGATAATGTGTTACAATTTACCTTCTGAAAATTAAGCCTAGTTTCTTCATATCCTGCTCTCAAAGGAGTAACGGGAACAATTTCATCCCACTTGTCAGAATCAATCTGTGTGATCTGTTCAAGATCACATTTACTACAAGCCGATCCCATTTCCGAATGCCTTTCGGGTATAAGTGCTTCCTCTGAAATACAAGAAAATATATAAAACTTATCTTCACCAACAGGTATTTTCTACGTTAACTTTGAATATAAATATATTTACCTTCAGGTGTAAGACTCGCGGCTTGAATAGAGTATTTAGGAGCATAATTTCCGGTAAAGAACGCCGTGTCTACTAATAACCCTGAAAAAAGAAATTAGCCATTATTGTACAAAAATAAATAACAAAACATTCAATAGAAGTATTGAAAGATTTAATATAATTTTTACCTCCAATAACACACTTCGTAGCAAGTTTTAATATGCACCAATCATGTCCAGTGACACGTTTCCTCCTAGTCTCCCATCCGTCCATCCATTTGCCGAATTCTGTGTACTTATCTACGACGAATACGGGATCTGAATCCGCTATCATGTTCTCGCATGGCGCAAAGAAGTCGTCTGTAGCGAATACAACGCTTCCACCAGCCTAAAGAGGACGAAAAACGTTATTTTTTAATTATTATTAAAATTATTGCGTATAATTATTTTATTTTTAGTTTCAGGATTTGAAAATAAATTTTACAGCACAATTTTATACATTTTTATACTATATGTAATAGACTTGTTTAAAGTAATATTTATTTGATAAAATAATGTAATTAAATACTGAAATATCTACGAAAGCTAATAATAATTAAAATAATCTTATACGAAACAGATCCAAATGAGCAGTGCTTTATAAATAAAAAAATAATTAAAAACTTACACCTATACTGGCAAACTCGTTCAACTCGGTAAAAGCAGGTAGCTTAATCTCAATCATTTTTGAAAATATTTACTTTTAGTTCGGAATAAAAAATTGAGACGTTCAATATTTGAAGCGATAAATGGAACACTATTCCCTTAAACGCCACAGACTGAACTGATTAGCATAATATAGTTCTCGCGCTTTTATATAGAAGTCGTGTAAATAATCTGACCACGTTTATATAACATTAATTATAAATACAATGATATTTATTGACTTTCCATAAAAAGACAACGATTTGAATATCTACCGCACAATTTCATGTACCTACGCATTGTTATTCAATTTTATTTCATAGCCGTAAAAAGAGTAAAAAGGGAAATTCAATATAAACGTTAGCATTTGTTTGATATAGTACTTTATAAAACAACGTGTAAATACAGCATATAATTACTATACAATAATTAAGGTACTATAACGGGCATCGTGTTCCTTTCCTAAGGGTTTTTTAGATTTTGAAGTAAGTTTTTAAGTAAGTGTCAGTTGTGATTGCAATTGTCCCTATTGATTGACGAAGGTGTAAAAACGCACCTTTACAAAACTTTTGGTGCTATTAGTATGTGAGATCGAAAAACCTTATTATTTTGTTATGTATATAACACGCAATTTCTACCCTTTTAGCTCACTCCTTGGCTCATCCAGTTGAGCCGCGATCGTAAAAAACTGTAATAAAAAGTATAAACGCTCATAAAATCTACTTTGTCACGTTCCGAGCGCCTTCTGCATGAATGTTGATAACAAAAGAAAATACTAGAAGTAGTCGTTATGATAGACCTTGATGTGAAAAAGTCAATAGAGCGATGTAAAAAGTAGGTCGGTAGACTTGCGTTAGGCATTAAATAAAATAATTGAGGCTATTTAAAAATAGTACCTTTAATAATGCTATTCGTTTAATCCGTTCTCTTATTATATTGATCTGTTTTTATAGTGTTTGAACAGTAAAGTACTCTGGTATTATTTTACCGTAATCTTTTCATCCCTTTTCAGATTAAGTCAATTTATTTACAATTTGTAAAATCTTATAGGTAATGAATACTTCTTAAGTACTGTGCACCACGGATAGATGCGTCGAAATTCCTCATTGATAATTTAACTTTACGATTATGTGAAAAATATTGGAAGGTCTATTTATGTATAATAAGTTCATATGTGTAATGTATATATATGTATAGAGCGGTGATAGCCTAGTGGAACAACGGCTGCTTCTCAAAGGTCGACGGTTCGAATTCCTGTGGTGTCCTATGTAAGGTACAGTGAAGAGTACATCAAGCTTGACACTTTGTTGGCATAGAGTTGGATTTAAGTCTTAAGTGTGAAGCTCGGCGTGCTCTTGACCCTATACCTATGAATTTAACTTCTAAGTAAGGTAAATTTATGAATTTTAGTACTATAGCTATGTGTTTTAATGTTTCTTTGTGCTATAAATAATAAATATAAATATAGTGACAGTTTGTCTGGCTGTGCATGCCTTTTTTTTTTTTTGACGGAGGGGAAATCTTTATGGATACCCCTGAGCCCAGGGAGACTCAGGGGTTATGTGGGGACTCTCCCTCCACACTGGAAGGCCTACCCCACTAAAACCCCCCCGGGTTTCCCTCTCGCCGGTTGAGTCGGTGCATGCCTGCGTTACAGACAACAACAATACTGTAGAATTAAATCGATCAACTTATCTGTATCTGAGTTGCGATGCTAGTGCCCATGCGGCACACATATGTCAATAATCATAGTTCAACAGTTCATTTGAGGTTTCCAACGTGGTATTTTCTTTAATTGTCGTATTACAGATATGTTAGAAGAAGGTAATGTGTAATTGCTTTTCCATTTACATTTCTGTATAGCTCTGTTGCAGCAAGAGAGAAATTACCGACAACTCCAAAATCCTTTCGGTGGAACATTTCCGCTGACACCGTTTAGTATCATCATGATATATACCTACTGTGCCTATAAGTTCTATTTAGCAGCAGTAGAGCTCTTTGTGAAAGAGTTCGTCCATGGAAGAATCGCCACCTTACCTCTTTCTGCCGCCAAACAGTAATGTGAGCATTATAGAGTTCCGGTTTTGAAGGGTAAAGACCGATTGATTCACGTTACACCGTGCCTTACATCGTTTCCATATTGCGCCGGCAGGATATTTTTTGTTTTTTCAATTTTTCTTTTGAGTGATAAGGTTGTGTTATTAATGCACTTTCTACAACTTGAATTGTGCAATACCTCTTGATGTCGAAGTATTAGAAACACAAATTGAAACTAGAAATAGAAGATGGTTTATTTTATTTTATAAATGGTGTGTACATCCTGACACCCTCCGGGTACCCGGCGCATAAAAACTCCGGAACCAGGAAAAAATACTCGACCGTGCCTCGGTCGTGACACGGAATCGGCTCGGTGTAACATGAAGTTCATACAAAAGCATATATTTAGATATTTGATCCTGACACGGCCGGTGCACGACCGGAGCACAGCTGGTGAAATTACAGGCGCATGGGACTTAATAACTTGTCTCAAGGTGACAGGAGCAATGGCAGTGCTACTCAGATCTTTGCGATGTACAGCTCTGAGTGACACTGCAGCTGCTACGAACACCAGGCGCACGAATTGTTCGTCCCTTAACTTGGTATGATAAAAAAGTCAATATGGCCATACAACAACTAAACATAGCTTGTTCTATTATCATGATTATAGGTAGTACGTTCTACAAATAAAGTGAATTAGAAAGGTACTTGGAAGAAAAATTGTTAGGCAGCTATTTCAGCATGTGTAACTGTAATTAATTGGGCTTTGACATTAATCAGGATCTAATAGTTGACCTCGTTAAAAAATTAAGAATAATATACGTTATGGCAATATATTCTAGGGAAAATGACAGTCACACATAGGCCGGCCGTGACAATCGGAGATTACAAAACGTGTCAAAATGAGGTTACAAATGGCATCGCGTTGTTTATAAATATTCCACACATTTAATGGCTGACAATCATTAAAAAGGTGAAGGGTCCGATCCAAGTGCAAATAACTAGTTTCCTTCGGTTCCATTGATAAGCCGATCGGTTTCACACCCGTTCTTATTTATTATTATGGCTCGTTAAGTAATTATATTTATTTTGTTCATACCAAATTAAGACAGTGTTAGGTATAAATCATCCGGACGAATTTATTACTAAATAATTCGCCTTTTTACAAAGAATGAACCTGAGGAATTTTTCAAAAGATTCCACAAAGGTTGCGTTAAGGAGGTATGACGTGATTTTCTTAGAAACTATAAGATCTTTTAAATTTCACGATCGGTTGAACACATAAATTAAAAAACTGATTACCAAATAAACGTAATGTCGGACTATTTATATCAACCATTTCATTTAAAGCTAATTTGAAAATTCGACCTTGAATTGCGTTCTTCTTCTTATCTATCTATCTATCTATCGATGACATGCGATATATTATTGCGGCCCAGAACTTAGCCACATTGATCACGCATCAAGTAGCTGCTATGCTGAACAAGGCATGGGACATGTTTGCCATCGTGGTGAA